ACTGGCCTGAGCACTGTGGTCACTCTCACGTGCTGTCTGCTGCACACTCACAGGTAAACAGTGTGCCTAGTTCAGGGCAGCGGAGGCCTGGAAAGAGAGCGAAATAATAATAGCACAATACCCTTTTCTTAACACAGTGGTCAGATGACATACACAAACCCTGGTGGTTCTTCCGCGACCCCATTCTGCCTGAGAAATGCCACCAAGTAAGGAAGCTTGGAGTGACAAAGTTGTCAGTAAACATGAGAATCAGACAGGTCGGTGGGGTGACCTGTTGCCCTAATTTGAATAAAGAAGGGGAACAAACAAATGCACTAAACGTGGCTGGATTCAGCCCATACAGCACCTGGCTATGCACCAGGAAAAGCCTGTGTTCTGAAAGATTGGAGTTTTGAGGTGCTCAGGTAAACGTCTGCATTAGAGGATTGCTACCCAGGCCATCTGGGGCCCAGGTGACGCTGGCAGTGACCCCAGCAGTCAGCAAAGCAACTGTTTGGCTCCTTCTTCTTCAAAATTCTGCTTGCTCTGTCCAAAGTAAGAAGATTCAAGCGATTCGAGGCCTTGTGGTTCAGAGCAAACTGCTCCCTCCCTTGCTGGATTCTCGGCCCGGGGCCTGGGCCCAAATGACGTCTTCCTTAGCGGTGTCTGCTCAGGTCTTCCCCATCCCGCACACATCTGTGTCCCATGAGGTCGTGTGTGTTTACACTTGTTTACCTGGGATCAGCCCTCACGGCTTTGTCTACTGAGCTCCCTCATGTATTATGATTATTGGTTCGGGAAGGTTGAGTTCTTTGATTTCCTTTATGTTAACATTTAAGTACTTGCTCTCCATGCAGCGATCCTTCTAAGGGCTTTGACTGTATTTCCGTATTTAGTCTCCACAATAATCTTAGGGCCTGACTCCTCCTGGAGGCTGTGTATAGATGGGAAGGACCAGAGCTGCACACTCTGCTGTCCGCTGCGGGCTTTCAAGGCACGGTTGTGCGTGACACAGCCTTACTTCAGACACTAAAGGTCGGTTTACTTTGTGGGTGTAGGGTGAGGAAGGAAAGAAGCAAAAATTTTGGTTAATGGCTTTCTCATCGGTTGCTTTTCTACGCATACTTGTTTCACACTGAGCCACCTGCCCCTGCCCACGGTTCATGTGTTAAGGGGTCTGGACGCCCTGTTTGTACCCTCAGTTCTAAGTCCATCAAACCACGCGGGACCCACAGTCCGCCTTCTTGCTCACAGCCTCTCCTCCTCTGAAATGTCCTCAGAACCTCTGCATCTGCTCTCATGCTCCTGTTTGTGGATGTGGATCGCTGTCACACAGCCATCTGCCTGGCTCCCTTCTCCTGAGTATACCACATCCCATTTGTGGGTTTTCTGGTCATTTCTCACACAATTCGTAGGCTCTTGCAAATGACTCGATGCTTTTCCTTACTTGGGGGCCAGCCAGCAAGAGGACACATCTCTGCCTGTGAGAAAGCATCATAGGTTATGGCCCAGAGCTAGCAGAGCCCTTCACAGGGAGGACAGTCCTGGGGCTTCTCACGCGCATCGGAAAGAAGGTTGTGTGCTCTTGTCTGTTTCTACTCTAAAAAAAGCCTAAAGCTGTTGAAGCAGATTTGAAAAATAAATGCCTGGGTTCCAGAGAAAGTTATCTAGTAGAAAGGCACCTGTGTAGCTTTGCCAGACGAGATGGTTTCCTTTCTCACATGGGCTCCGGTACTACTTTAGTGGGCATTTCGTGAGTTATTTCTGAAGCCTTCGTCTGTAGACAGCCACAAGTTAATTCCACACCCATCAGAGCAGTGACCCAGTGTGATCTGAACAGACCCTTAGTCATTAACATTGGACAAATTTCAAATCAGGAGAAAATAACACCCAGGGAACTGGAATTCTAAAAGATAACTGCCCGGCTAGAGTTAAAATGTTGCCGCATACGCGCCGTCTCCAGAGATGAGTAAAACTTTAACTCTAAACAATTTCAACTCTTAGTTCATAATTGACTCAATAAATGTTTATTGAATGCTTGCTATGTATACAGTATGTGGAGTTTACAAAGATGGTTAAGGCATGAATAATTCTTGTTAGGAGTTTACAATCTGTGGGGACAATACAGCTGTGTGTAAATGGCAGTGCTGTCACAGGAGAAATGGCCGTGCCACCAAGAAAACTTGCTTCCCACTGCAGTGTAGCATAGAGACAATGCAGGGTCTTCCTGAGTAATGCTCGGCGGTCTCAGGGTGGTCGGCTTTGGTTCCTGAAGCTGGGAAGGGGCCGGCTCCCCAAATCCCTGGTTATCTCTGGGCACAGGGCTTCCTAGACTGTCCGGGAGGGAGGGCTAAATGGACCTTGCAGATGTGAGCACACAGGGACTGCTGCCTAGCTGGGTGCTTCTGCTGTGTTAGTAACGAGTAACAGGACCCTGAGTCTCGCAGGCCCTAAATGTGCCTGCCCTCTTCCCTTACTGCGCCGCCTGCCGTCCCAGTAATCTTCAGGGTAGCAAATCTCATTATTTGGCCTCTACATACTTAACAGGAGTATTTTCCAAAGAAGGAGGAATTTCATCTTCCAGCACTAATAAGAACAAGTGAATAGCTGTCATCTCAGATTGCGGGTGTCTCCGAGTGCATTGTCTGCTTTTCACTGCATGTGCACTGGAAAATCAGTAGCGTTTATGTTTGGGGGAGAACAAGGAAAAAACTACAATATACACAATGTTGAGCATGGAGATATTCAGTGATGAGATTTGGGCTTGAATTCTTTTCCCATTTGATGCTTCTTCATTGCTTCCTGATTTCTTCATTGAATCAGTAAATAATTGTGTGTATTTCGGGTACAAAGTGATATTGTGATCTCTGTGTACATCACAGAAGGACTCAGGGTAATCACTCCATCCATTACTCACCAAGTGTCTTGTGGTTCGGGTGTAAGAAATCTGTTCTTTCAGCTATTTTGAAATATGCAACTCAGAATGACTAGCTGTGGTCACTGTGAAGTGGGAGATCACTAAGATGCTGGTGACCCTTAGTGTGCAAATCATGAAAACTTGTTCCTCCAACGTGTTCTTCGAGGAGCATCTTTCTTCTGCATCTCTCTCCTTTCTACAGCCCCTTGTAGCCGTCCCTTTACCCCATTTCTGAGAGTAATTTCCTTAGAGTCTGCTCGTGAGTGAGATTATGCAGTCTTATGCCTGACTTCTTTCTCTAAGCCTGTCTTCCAGTTCTATCCATGCTGTAACAGATGACAGCATGTCTTCTTTTTAAAGGCTTCATAGATTCCACTATGAATGTGCACCACATTCTCTCCGTCCGATTGAAACTCGTGGATGCTCAGGCTCCCTGCATATCTTGGTTGTTGTGAATGATGCTGAAGTGAGCATGAGAGTACAGGTACCTTTTCGCCAAACCATTTCCAGGAAAACCTTGAACACTGCTGGTGGGGCAGTAAATCAGCGCAGCCATTTTGGAAATAGTATGGGGAATCCTCAAAAAACTGAAAACAGAGTCACCACATGATCCAGCATCTCAATTCTGTGGGTTTTGCTTTTCCTCATTTTTCAAATGTCATGCATTCTTTTTGCCTTGGTTATGCAAAGAAACAACTCCGTGTTACAAGGCTGAGGCTGTAGCTTCCAAGCCCATCTTTAAGAATCTGAACTGCATCCAGCACCCTGCAGCGACCGTTCGGTATCCACTGAGTCCACCAAGAGCCCAGAGCCTCTGCAGGGGACCGTGCTGCCTTCCCCACGGTGGAGGAGAAGGAGTGAGCGTAGGAAACCGAGTCAGACTTGAAATCTGCACCTCGCCCAGAGCTGCTGCGAGCTCAGTGCACTGGGCTGGCAGAGGTTTCCCCAGTGGTCTCAGCAGCAGACTCTCTTCTCGCCTGCCCGGCTCTGTGTGTGAATTTCTCCAAGGAGACCGAGGCCAGCCCCTCGATGACCCTGCTTGGCTGGAAGTGGAGCCCATGGGGTCTCGCCATGTCTCTAAGGCCTCAGCTGCGGGTCTGAAGCCTCGGTGGAAGGGGTCAAGTTAAAACCTCGGGCTGCTCTGGGTGGCAGGACTCCACACGGGGACCTTTCCCAGGACTCCGGTTGTGACCTGGTCCCTAACATTCCCCCCAGGGAAGCCCCATCCCATGAGGCCAGTCCCAGCCTCAGTGTGAACCGGCTTTCAGCAAAAACAAAGCAAGCAAGCCCTGCTCTTGTCCCTCCCCACTTCTCAGAGTTTAAAATAGAGCTCATGAAGGATAGTCCAGCAGTAGAAGGTCAGAGTTCAAAGCCATTTGTACTGCCACTAGCTGAAGTTCTCTCAGTCATCGAAACCAACTAAACCTGTCTGGAACTTAATTGTATAATTTCCCCAGGCCCCAAATTTTCTGCAGAATATTTGGTCCCAGAGTGACCCGCCCACCTAGGCAGGGCCTACAAGGGGTGCACCGTGCCTGCTCATGCACTGCAGACCAGCCCTATACATACAGAGAGGCGGGATCTCCACCCCAGAACCCAGGGATGAAGCGAGCCTCTGGGAGCTGGTGGCCGAGCGCTGTGGCCGCTTCTCAGGTGGGGTCCTTGCAGCCCAACTGCTCTGCAGGCGTCATGGTGCAGCAGCGGACTGCACAGACACCATGCAAGGCGCTTTCCTCTGGAAACCAGGGCCTGTGGGATCCCACGAACCCACGTGCCTTTTGAGGCTGCTGCGTTATCAGAGATCTGTGTGAGTCCTATGTGCACGGTGAAAGACACGCGTAGCGAGTCTTACTGATACGTGACTGTGACCTGTAGTCCCTCTCCATCTCTTCCTCTCCCTCCCTCCCTTCTTTGTCTCTATTTCCTTCTTTCTTCTTTCTTTTATCTTTTCTTTTGACTTTCGGTTGAGAGAGGAATTTGGTAAAAGGACAAGTTCAAAACGCAGAGAAAATGATGCAAAAGCAGGCCCTCTGGCAGGCGGGCCTCCTGACTGCCCCCGTGCGTGGCTGATCCGGACCCCTCCTCTCTCTCGTGTCCCCTGCAGGCTGTATTTGAAGGGCCACTCGGGGACCGCGGGGAAGCAGAGCAGCCTGATCCTGCATGGCGCCGACTTCAGCACAAAGGACGCGGACAACGACAACTGCATGTGCAAGTGTGCGCTTATGCTGACTGGAGGTGAGTCCGGCTTTGGCCTGGCTTGCGGGATCCGAGCTCCCTGGGAGGGGCCAGGCCAGGCGGGAGCCCGGAGTCCGCCCTCGGTCCCCGCGGGCGAGGTCAGTGTGGGGCCCTGCGCTCCACTCCTCCCGCCCTCCGGCAGCGCGCTCCTCCGCAGGAGCGGGCGGTGGGTGCGCTTGCGACGGGGAAGGAGGACCGATGGGGGGCGTGGCTCGGCCTCAGCCCCCCAGTTCAGGCCAAAGGAAGCTCCTCCCTCCCTCCTGCACCCCTCACTTCCTCCCTCCTTTATTTTTTGCATTACTAGGGATCAAAACCAAGAGTGCTCTACCGCTGAGCTACATCCTCAGCCCTTTTATTTAATTTTAATTTTTTATGTGGGGCAAAATTCTCTGTAAGTTGCCAAAGCAGGACTCGAAGTTGCAATCATCCTGCTTCAGCCTCCATAAGCCCTGGGCTTGGAGTCCCTTCCCGCCCCTGCTCCCCGCCCTGACCTCCTCTGGCTGCCCACTGCCTGTGTGTCCCACGTGAGCCCAGCCCCGTGAAGGACTGCGTGCGGGTGGCCTGCCTCTGTCACCCGCTTCTGCTGACTCGGCCTCGGCGAGTGTTTAAGATCCTCCTCGACACGTAATCTTGTAATCTCGCCTCCCCTGAAGGAAAGAAACAGTTATTGCCAATCCAGGACTCCTTAAAAGTACGGCCCCACAGGTTCTTGAGAAACGTATTTCTTTTCATTACCTCCGTGACCCCATAAATGAAACTGTCAGTAGCTTTATATGAAGAGAAAAAGACTTAAATATTCCAGTTTCCTGCCGATTTTGATACTGAAATGCGTTTCACCCTATCCATTCTACTTTGGAGCTAGTTCTTACTGTACAGATGCGGCAATTGAGAGACCCCAGTGCATCTCTGGGTGTGTGCTTAGCAGGGCCCCCCGGGGTCCCCATTCCTGTCTGAAGAATGGAAATGTGGACCCAGGCAGAGGCGGCACCACTCCGTTAGGAGCAGACTTCGCGGCTAAGGTTTAGGACTTTATTTCTGCCTCATGTGGTTGAACTCTGTCCTGCTCTCTCGTCCATGGTCGTTCCTGGACACATTCCTTAGTCCCTGATAAACACATTTGTTGGAGAGAGAAAATTTCCACTCCTGCTTGGGCTGGAGTAGTCTAAAGTAAATGTGTTTTTGTAATAAACGCCATTACCCTATCAGATGTCACTTTGAAAGAATCCAGGCCTTTCGAAGCCATTCACTCACTGTGAAGGCTGCAGTGTGGAACTCCATAGCTGCGGACTGGCAGCCCAGGGTGGTGGTTGGTGCCGTCCAGGCCTGGGGCTGGGCTGGGCTCATGTCCTGCTCAGCACCCACACCACTGCCATGAGCCCCGTGTTTTCCCCGGTCTCTCACTGTCTGACAGCGGTCCCCCTTCTTCAAACACCAATTCTAGCTTATCAGCGTGGTCTCTTTGAAGCAGGGAGACTTTAATAGTGTTTGTCATCATCAATTAGTTTCATTTTATCTCATTTACTTCTACTGCTTTCTTTCTTATAAACAGAATGGAGGGTAAAGTTAGATTTATCGGGCACTCCCCGTCCTGGATAGTTTTTCTTCCAATGCGCGGAGGGATTTGGTTGGTCGATGCGGCGTTGTTACCCTTATCTGTTGAAGACTGAGAAGCAGGAGACAGACAGGCTTAACGGAAAGCAGAAGGTGTTTCAAGCAGTCCCAAGGTGGAGCATTTGGCCCTCAGCTCCTTCTTTCCCCAGTGAAGCATTTTCATGAGAGCCTGCAAAGGAGGTCTCCTCCACGGAGAAACGGAGGGACAGAGCAGCGCTTCTGACCCTGAGAGATGGTGCTCAGAAAGAAGGGCGCAAGTGACAGGACTCTGATCCGGAGCGGGTCCTCGCCTGCTGCTGCTGGGGAAGACACTGCCTGAGGGGTCCTCAGTGGGTGCAGGCCGAGGGGACCCTCCCTTCCCAGGCGAGACCCTGCAGGAGGGAAGACGGCTGCCCACGCAGAGCTTCCTCGCACACTCTGTGCTCCTGGGCCCAGTTAGTCCAGTTTCCCGGGTTGTTTTCCGGTTCTGTGGGTCTAACATTTCGCCGCTCCTGGAGGCTGCAGTAGGAAACAAGCGGAGTCACTGTGCGGCGCTCAGGGGACAGTTCTATGGCGAAGTGCTGGCTCCGAAGGGAGGCTCTGCGGGTGAGGACAGCCTCGTGTCCGCCTCAACGGAAGCACACGCTCCGGTTGGTTTCCCGCTCCAGGGCGTGGAAGTGCTCCAGCCCACCTCTGCGGCCCTTCGCAGTGCTCCTGTGCCTGAGGCGAGCATGCGCGCAGCTCGGCAGGTCCAAGTGCCCCTCACTGGGCCGCCGCAGGGAGGTGTGACTAGCAGCCCTGCTCTCCGTGAGCGGCCGTGGGTTCGGGAAGTCCTCAGTCTTCCCTTCGGTTTCCCTGCCTGAAGCGGTCAATGCGGGCTGCGGGCTGCGGGGTGCGCTGGAGGAGCGGGGAGGAGGTGAGGGGGGAGGAGGTGAGGGGGAGCGTATCCATCCCCTCCAGAGGACACCCAGCTTGGGGAAAGCCCACAGCCTGGCCTGCGGGTTGACAGTAGGGAAGTGAAAATGTGATTCACCCAGTGTCCGCTCTGCTTCTGTTTACATAAATTTACTGTACATAAAATGGGTATGAAAAATTAGGAAAATTAAAACACCATTGCATTGTTTCATTCAAAATGAACTTATGTTCTACTAAAACATGGTCTTTGGCAGTACATTAAGATTCTGGAAAATAAGTATTTTAAAAGTCTATTTAAGGGCCAGGGATTTGGCTCAGTGGTTCCCGCCTGCCTCGCAAGCGCAAGATCCCGAGTTTGATCTCCGGTAACAAAACAAAAAAAAAGAAAAATTATGTTTAAGCTACATTTTGAAGCTACAATGGTTACAGTTATATTATCCGTTTATTAAGTAGTTACAGAAATAATTGTCTGAAAATTTGTTATACAGTATAAGAGGTCGCTAACAGCAACAATCACAGCATTGTTCCACAACCCTCTCCTTCTTTAGTTCTTTTCAATGCCATTTCCATGTTTAGAATAAAATATAAAAATGATGGAAAGTGTGATCCAGCCTTCCGTAGAAAGAACGCATCTCCGTAGAAACTCGTCTGTTCCCCGCACATGAACCCTGCCGGCTGATGGGGCTTGGGAGCCAACTGGGGACGTCCCTCAGGGCAGCCCAGCCAGGGGACGGCCCAGCACGCAGTGAGCCTCCCTCCTGGGGTTCCAGGCTGGTGCAGAGCTGAGGCTGCTGGCTCCGCCTACTCTGTGATCCGGCAAGGACAGGAGAGGAAAGCCACCGGCTGCTTCTTCACTGGTGACCATGTGAAGTGAGGCGGTCTTTGGGAAAACTCAGCCAGCTCGGCATTTTTCATAACTCAGGACGGACACATAAAGCACCGGATAACTGGCATGCCTGGGGCTTTAAGTAAAAGCGTGAAGAGCGAAGGTCCATGTGGATTCTTGAAGTTGATTGTAGAAAACCTAAATTGCATTGCTGGCATTTCATCTCAGCTTCTGCACATAGCCCCTAACAGGCACGCATGTTCCATGGAGACGTGGCTCCTTGCCCTGCAGTCTTTGGCTAACCCTGACCAGGAGTCACTGCAGGCAGAGGTGTGGCCTGCAGTATGTGCTCAGTAAACGCTGGTCGGTGATGTGAACATCGGATCAGAGACTCTGCGAGGACACATAGTCACAGATGGGAAGCAGAAGTAAATTCGTGCCAAGTGCTGTCGTGCCGGAACTCGGTTTAGAACACGGAAGCACAGACTTGTACTGCACGACAAACTTGGAGTTAAAGGGTGAATAGCAAGCTCGTCTAAGCTCACAAGATGCAGTTGCTGACTGGTAAAAATTTGAATGTTAGGCTCCTGAATTTCAAATAAATTCGAGTTTATAAGTACAAAGCTTAGGATTATATTATTTTCTGAAAGCACAATTCATTTATTGGAAGAATAGCAGAGAATATCTGAGAATGTTTTCCATACATTTGGAAGGAGCTGAAGTGATATGCTCACAGCAGGAGCCACACCCGAGGGTCATAACTGGCAGTGAGTGAGAGACTACCAAACCGTTCATTCGGTTTTGCTCTCTAATAGCAATATAGCAAATATTTATTGAACATTTTAGTCTAACAGACACTTCGGCATTATTGTGCCTTCATAACTTACATGAAGTTTCTGAAAGTTTTTAACTGGGGCAAAGAGGAACGCAGAAATTTCTTTTTCATGAACTGAAACCCAGAGCAGTTTGTGCACAGACTTTATGTCAGAAGAAGGATTTGTACTCAGGTACGTGGCCTGGGCATGGCTTGTGGCCCCCATGATGGGGCATCCTGGAGACCCTGCCCGCTCACTGCCTGAAGCCCCTTCCCTGGCATCTCCCTCCTCAGATGCAGTTAGAAGGGACCCAAAGTCCAAGGCAGAGGAGAGACAGTAAGAGAAATCCAGGCGTTTTAGATGGATTCAGCATCACTGGCCAGGAAAAACAACTGTTCATCTTTGGAATAGAAGAAAGAAAAGGGAGAGAAGTCCCGAGACTCAGCGTGAAATGTGTGTAGCTCCAGATGGCAGGAGGAATGCGGAACTCTAGACGGCGAATCTGGCCCTGTGTCTGCAGCTGCTCTGAAATTTACTTATACTTTAGGCTTCTCATAGAAGAGAAACCATGCAAATATATTTAAGCTCGTATGTCTGACTTTTTTCACTTAACATCATGGTCTCAAGGTGCATCAGTTTTCCTACAAATGCCTCAAGTTTATCCTTCTTTATGGGAAAATAGTGTTCCACTGTGTACAGTTACATTTTCCTTATCCATTCGTCAACACCTAGGCCACTTTCAAGATTTATGAGTTTTCCACATGGGAAGGGGACCCAGAAATGGTGTGAGGGAGACAGAGAGGGGAATGAGACATAACAAGAGTGAAGCTGTGTGATGCCCTTGCACCAACTGC